GAAAACCACGAGCTAAGTAGAATAATAGAATCACTGTGGTTGGAAAGGACCTCTAGGATCTTCAAGTCTGACCTTTCTCCCAGCATTTCCCTATCCACTAGACCATAGCCTCAAGTGCTATCTACTCATATTTTGAACACCTCCAGGGATGACGACTCCACCACCTCCCTGGGCAGCCTGTTCCAGCGCCTAACCACTTTAGCCTCTACAATGCTGACCTCCCAAATAGACTGTGTAGAAGCTATTCATTCATGTGAGTCAACAGACTGGTATTTGACAAAGTATATTTTGAGGTTATGGAACTGTAGCACTAACAACAGACAACATTAAGTAGTGAAGTTTTTTTACCACAGCCATTTTTTATGCTACTTTTGTTTTCTGCGTAAGTTTATACCTTTCAGATAAGAATTCTTTGAGATTGCTCAGTACTGAGCTTAACGTATTCTTTTAAGAAAATAGTAATGCTGTTTACTGAAGTGTAGTGCTTTTCTACCCTGTGATTCCCAGCCTTGGTAGCCAGAGCAGATGCACTTCAGAGCTATCTTCCTGTATGCAATGACTCCATCTTCATTTTGGTGGTTGTAAGAAGCATCACTTTCTGGGTATAATGGCTTTGAGTATTTTTTTTCTTCTGTGGGTTTTCCCCTTAATCTTTTTCCCGTCTTGTGTGCCCCTGGCAAATCAGCCACAATCAGCCTCTCAGACCGTGTCCTGGATGCAGATGTATAATACTGTTACTATTTTTTTTTTTCACTTTTTTAAGTGAACTGAATGATAACAATGTGATATGACAAACATATTTCCATTATTATTTTTGACCTATTTAACTTATCCTTTTTTTTTTTTCTAATAGTCTCAGCATCTGCAAATAAAGCAAAGTTTTAAAATAGCATCCAGCATCCTCAAGACCCCAGCTGCCACCTGCTTCATGCAGTTATTCATACTTCTCCTTTCCAAGACCTGTCTTACTCTTTTTCGTCCATGATTGGATGAAGTATGCTGTATTCTAATGCATTTTTGAGATAAGTAGAAGAAATTGAGAGAAGATTCTTGTCTGTCTTGTGGCATTTTAGAGTGCTTATCTTTACTCTTTTGGAGGCATTTTATCATAGTTTTTAAGATAGAATGCTTACAACTCATTGAACATCATCTTGGGACTTAGAAACTAATAATAAGTGTAACATAAAATAATTACTTTATCTAAAAATGTTTGTTTTATTACCTACCTCTACTTCATTTCATGCATGGGGGAATACTACTGAATTCCATATTGCACATTGCAATTTGTTCCTAAATAGTCATATCTTTCAAACAGCATAGCATGAAACAATTCAAAGAGTAAGTGCCTAATTCAAATGGATAAAATGACTCATTCTTTAGCAGTTTCCCAGTTTTAGGGTAAGCGGATTTACCCTTGCATATCTAAACCAAGTACACAAGTGCTCTTTTTCAGCACCCGATAAAAGGATGAGTTCTCTTTTGTTTTTGAACAGAATTAGCCCACTGAAGGAAAGCAGTTTATCAAATATGGGTAGTTGGGGGTGGAGTATTTTGTTTTTATAAATCTGGAATGTGTAAAAAGAGGATTATGTAATCTTGTAAGCATTTCTAAAAAAGGAAAAAGAATAGAAAAAATTAATCCTTTTTTTTTTTTTTTTGTACTGTATGGGATGTTGTGACTAAAACAAGTCTTCATGCAACATAAATAGACTGTTAATTTCACAATGGATGATTGAGATGGTAGCACTCTTTGGATTCAATAGGATTCTTTAACATTATTTTAAAAGTTATATTTTTTCAATATTTTTTATGCTAGAAGTAAACAATCCAGTTAGTTGAGCACCAGGGTATTAAATAAAATAGCTAGTGTTGCTGTACTGTATTTGATGAGATGTTATTGTTAAGTAATGCAAAATAGTTAACTTTTTATTAAAAATTTTAACTAAAGTATTGAAGTGTAGAAGAAAGGAAAAGGTATGAATATTTTTTTAAACTATTGTTTTAATTTAATATTTACATATTAATTTCTGGACTATACTGCCAAAATGTTATGACTTCATTCTGAACTCCTTCAGTGGGTTATTGACTCCATTTGGGAGAGGATGAGCCACGTGTAGGTTTACACAAGAAGATTTTATTCTCTTTTTTTTGTCATTTGATGGGAGTTGGCTATGAGATGAGCTGTGCAGTCCTCCAGCTGCTAGGCTATATGTGATGTGCCCTGGACATGACAACTTACTTTGTTAGACGTGCAGTATTTTTACACACAGTTCTCAAAAAGGTAAAATGAAGGGTCAAAGCTTTGTGATGAGAAGTGAACCACTTCAGAGTTGCAGTGAAATCTAAGCATGCAAGTATCCCTAAGGTTGGACCGTAACAAGAGGCTTAGGTCATACTTATTTTCAGGCAGGTGCAAAAGAAAGGCTTCTAATGTATTGAGCTTTGACATATCCTTCATGTGGAAGATGCATAATGAAAGCACATGTAACTCTTTGTTGTGTTATACCCAGCTGCTTTTCCATTATGTCATGACTACTTCTGTGTACTCTCAGTGTGTGAATGTATTTAATAGCTTTGGCATTGGAGCTTACTTGTAACATTTGGATCAAAGAACATGGTTTGCAGAGTGTTTTGGGGCAGCAGGGAGTTGAGTTCTGGTTCTCACATAATTAAAAAATGAGCTGTGCTTTTGTAAGGCCTTTTTTTCAGCCTGCTCTTGTTGAGCTTGTACGTTGCCTGGGAAAGACCAGTGAGCAGTTCTTGACGATGCAGTTTGCATCCATAAATTAGCTAAGAACATCCAAGGGCAGTTGCTAAACACATTAATAATTGTGCAAACATGTAGTTTTGTTGTTTACAGAGTGGTGGATAGCACCCTGGAGGAGCAGCTAGCAAAACTGATGTGAAGAGAAGCAACACATGAATGTAGATGGGCAGGGATCACAATTTCACACAGATCTTCTACATACTGGAGAAGAAAATGGTTTGATAATTCATTATGTTATATCTTTGCGTATTGATTTTGCCTCAGGAAATTTCAGTGTTGTTTCTCTCAGGGATGATGAAAGCTTTGATTTTCAGTTTGCTTGAGGGGAAGTGAGAAAGGCATTTGGTCCAAAGGAATTAGATTAGAGGTCTCCCCAGAAATCAGCCTAGATAAAACCTCTCAAGCCAGAAGACTTTTGAGGCTAATTATTATGCTGAAGTGTATCTATTGACACATCTGTAGGTATAATTCAAAATAAAGCTGAGATCCACAGAATCAGGAAAAAAATGCGTGAACTTCAAGGAAGTGCCCCTGTGTCATTTGAGGTAAACTCTTTATAACCAAAAGCATCAGGTTAGGTAAAATATATAACAGGTCCCAGTAGCATAAAAACTTCTGCCCTTGGTTTTATCATACTTTTCAAATATGATGGTCACAGAGGAAGAACTTATATTGGATTTCAGCCTGTAGTCACCATTTGAATTTTCTTACAAAACACTTTTCAAGTTCTTTAGATATTTAAACCCCTACATAGTTCAGAAGAAACTGTATGAAGTGCAAGATTTTCTGTTCCTACATTTCAGTATCTGGTGTTAAATCAGATGTTTTCCTGTTACAGAAGTGTTTTGTAACTTGGGCTGACCTTTCTAAATACTTCATTTATGTAGTGCTGATGACATGTTATAGGTTTAGGATCTTGTTAACTTGAAAGTTTAAGAAGACAGGAACCTTTTTTGTTTTATGAATTAAACATTGAGGTGCAAACTCAGATAAAATATTCAGATACAATTGTAGCAGGGTAAATACTTTCCTAAAATACCCATGTTCAGGAATCTAGTAAAATTTCACGCATCCTGCATGTCCAGAGCAGCTGCTGTTAGAATTTAAACGGTTTGTGTGGAGTTGCCCAGAATCTGAACTGTTGCCTTTGGCAGTGAATCCATACTTAAATTTCCAAAACTGAACTGAATGAGAAACTTCTTCATCTTGTACTGCTCCATTAATTTAATTTTTAAACACTTATGTAATATTCTTGTGTGTTCTTGTATTTATGTTTTATGTGAATGTTGTGTAGGGATTTAGAGATTCCAGAATGTCCTTAATGTTGTCTTGAGAGATTCATAGCATTCTACAATAATAATGGCCAAGACTGATTATCCTCATACTTGGTCTTCACCAGAATTTATTGCTATAAATCTGTGAGAAAAATGCCCTTGGCCATTCTTAAATTTTATATGTATATAAAAACAAAATCCCTGAAAAAAAATGTTTTGGAGTATTTTTCCATCACACCAATGCTTGACGTTTAATAACTTAGACCTTTACTACATATTCATGGAACAGCCTAACTGAAGAGCAGAAGATCTAAACACTTTTAATTTATTTGTAAGTGACTCTAACTTGTAAACATTTCTATTAATACATATTTTTGTGTCAGAGTGATGTATAGACTTATTACTGTGGTTATCTTGAGTATAATGCTTAGATAACCCACAGAATACAAGAAAATAACAGTTAAGGTAGGCTCCTCAGGAATCATAGGAAACCACATAATAAAACTATATACTGGTAGAATATGTGTTATCTGTATATTTTTGTAAGTGGCCTGTATAATCATTCAGTTATCTTCTGATAAAAGATTTAAAAGACTTTGATTCCTTTTAAGAAAATCAACAGAGGTGACTTAAAATCCCTTACATGGCTTTAAATACATTCCTGTAGCTAACGAGGGGAAATTCTCATCAGAATCAGCACTGCTTATTAGAACCAGTAGGAGAAAATAAAAGTTATCATCACAGCTGAGGAACTGTGAATGAAAACTGCAAGGATATAAATTTATCTATCAGATTGAATTTTCAAGCTCTTTGTTATGAAAGGTATTCCTGATTAGGAAGCGGGGGTAAAGCAATTGCAGAACTCTGCTCAGATGCTTGGACTTGTGCAAACAACTCTGTTTCTGTGGAAGGAGCAGTGTGGTTGTAGGTGTGGCCTGAACTCTGTTTTCTCTTTGCAGGCAGAACTTGTTGATGTACAGTATGGCACTGTGGAAGACTTGATCCGGATTCAGGCCATTACAAACGTGACCAAAAAAATTGCACTTTTGAAGCTAGGACAATCACCTTTGCTTTATAAGGTCAGTCAAATGCTTGTTGTGCTTTAGCTGAATTGTTTCTTTGTTTTTTCAGTTTCAAAATACCAAAACAAGAACTTCCCATTCTATGCCAGTATGTCAGGATTTACTGGAATTCAGGTTCTTCCTTAATAGTAGCCACTTTGATCTGCAATGCCTTTTATACATTACAGTTATTTATTTTGCTGCGTCTCTTACAGTGCCTCAGCAGTACGCCATATTTTCTTAGGATGTACTTATAAGCCTTTTGGCAAATAAAGAAATCCCTGAAAGATACAATAAATCACGAGGGGAAACAAAAAGGCAACTGAGGTGTTCAGAAGTACTTGAATCTGTGTGTGCCAAAAATGTGCCTAAACCACTGTGCTGAAACCTTTGTTTTCTGCATCATTGTATGTAGTCCTTGGCCCGCTGGCTGCAGTTTGAGAGTGATGTGAGGGGAGAGAAAGCACACTGGTTGCTTGCCCGACCTCAGGCTTCTGCAGGTCATCCCAGTCCCACTGGGCTGTGTCTAAAGCCCAGCTCTTTGGGCCTCACTGTGGGTGAGCTCCAGCCAGCACTAAGATGGTGAGCTGATAACCAATAGCATACACTGTAGGAGGAGTAACATTATTTTTTATGGTTTTGTTTAGGAAATGACATCGTAACCTGTTTTCATCATAACATGATACAGCCTTGCTTTGTGAAGAAGGTGCCTTTGCTTTCTTGGTGCTTTCTGCTGTCCTTACCACCTTAGAGGGAAGAAAGGGACTGTGAGCTGAGAAAGAGCATTTACTTCTGTACTAAAACGTGTAAGCAGACTACCCACAGATACACAGATAGGCATTTGTTGCCCTTGCCATTAATGGCCAGTCACTCCTGTAAAATCACTAGGATTTACTGGTCTGTGGATGGGTTACCACCAGTTTGGAACAAGAACCATGTTTTTCTTCCACTCCCTCCTTCCTTCTTTGGTTGCAGCTATGTGTAGGGAGGGGGGTGGTGTACATGGGTATTGTGTGTCTGTGCTTTCTCCTCCAACTCCAGCGCTGCAGAGAGCGCAGAGATGGAGCTCACTAGTCCCCTTGTACACTAGACATAACAGACTCAACATATAATCACATTTAAACTTGAAATGTCAAGTAACTGCCTTCTATTACAAATATTTTAGGAACAAAAATGCTGTTTTGTCTTTCAGAAAAAAACACTGGCCCAATAAATATTTAAACAATTCATTCCCAATTCACAAAAGCAATTATAAAAGAACAGTAACGCCAGATCTTATAATTAAGAGAATCGAGATCTATTCTGTCGGCCACAGAAAGCACGATTGGGACCACAACATAGGTTCAGAAAATAACCACTTAATGGTTTTTTCTATAGGAATAATATTTGTCTCACTAAAAATGCCATTTTCAACTGAGTAGCTTTAGCTGTTTATTTGAATTATTTAGATGCAGTGTAATTATGCCTGTGAAAGGTCAGTTATCATTGTTGGAACTTGGCTACTGTGCATCATTTCCATCAATAGATCTTTGAGTGCGTTTCACTGCTAACTGACAAAAACAATGAAAGAGCAATTTGGGCTCATAAAGTAGGAATTTGATAAAGGTGCAAAGTTTGCTGTAGTAACACTGTCTAAAGTGTCTGTGAGAAGGGCTTTATACCAATTTAATTTGTGTTCCTGTAAGCACTTCCTATATCTAAATTAGCAAACAGTGCAGCCTGAAGGGAAAGACAATTTCCTGTGCTGAGGACAGGTCACACCTCAGGAACTTCTAGTTTGGGTTGGCTGCAGTCTGGTCCCACAAAATAAATGCTCATGGGTGGCTGAGTTGCACTAGCCACACTTCTGGTGCCCATCTGCTCTTCCAAAATAATCCATTTTGCATGTTCAGAGTCTGTTACATAGTATGAACCAAGTGTGTGGTCTGATCCAGGAGACTGACTTTGGATGCACACTTGAGATCTGAGACAAAGATCCAACTCTCCAAACCTACTTTTTGTGTTCTGTTCAAGCAGGTGGGAAGTTCGCCCTTTATTTATTTCTTTTTTTTGAGGCTATGAACTGTGGGGGTTTTAGGATATAAATTGTCTATCCTTGGCTATGAAATAATTGCAAGCTATTAAAAGTATGAGAAAATATGCAGGAAGATACCAGAAACAGATTTTTCCTTCATAAGAAGTATTTGAAGTGAAAGAGAAAGCTTGCCTTTAATAGCAAGTCCTGTATTGGTTTGAATGGGCCCAGTGTCTCACTACTGAATCCACTTTTTTTGTATCTTTTTCCTCCCTAATGTTAATGTTTCTGTACTAACTGAGTCTCTTGTTTTGGTTTCAGCAGATATTTCCCTCTGCCTGTATTTGCCTTCTCTCTCTCTTCCACGTGCTTGGTTTAACATCGCATTGAAACGGAATGCTGGTTCATAACAGAGCTGTCACACACACACTTATATATGTATATATATTTACTGATGTTCTTTCTAATTTCTGTATTTAACTTGTATTTTTCACATTTTAATGTTCTTAAGTTTCTTATTATTATTGTTTCATATTATACAAATATCTCACTCTGGGTTTGGGTCTTATTTCTGTAGATCATAGAATAATTAAGGTTGGAAAAGACCTCTAGGATCATCAAGTCCAACCATCAACCCAACACTACCATGACCACTAATTCTGCACTGAGGTTTCATCTTCATAATAAAGTTTCTAATCGCTTCTCTATTTTTCAGCTTTGCATTTTCCCTTGCATGGGTATGCTTTTTGCTACTCTTTTTTACTGCCATCATAACATGTTCCTTTCCTTGTGGGGTTCCTATTTCTCCCTTTGGTGTTACTTCTTTTTTCTAATCATGGCTGCTCTTTCTCTCCATATTGAATACATTGGAAAAAGACTGAAGGAAATAATTAACTGCTTCTGGTAGAAAACTCACCATGAAAACTGAACATTTCTCTATTCCTTATATCACATAAAGGAAAAGAACTATGTACCAATAGAAAACAGCTTGATGTACGAGGGGATAATTTATAGAAATGAGCCCCAGTGATGGAAATGTGAATATTTGGGAAAATAATTGTATTACTGACAATATTTTTTGCTGTAGAGGTTTAGTTTGGTATTTTATGGAGATTGGATAGAGTAAAAAATTTGAGGGAGGATCAAGGTTGAAAACAATTTGGAGCTTTGACTTCCAGTCTTTCAGAATGGGCCCATCTCTGATGTTTTCAGACACACTGAAAAGAGCAGACAGGGTTCAGAGCTCAGAGTAACTTGGAAATGGAATGTAGATGGAATTTGGTGTATGCAGAAAATCCTGAAGTTAATGAGCTGTTAGAATATGCAGTTGAATCCTTAATGTGAGTAATTCTGATTAAATTTGATAAGGTTCATAAATTTAAGCTGCTTTATGAGAACAAGATTTGTAGAAATCTGACCCTATGTTATTTTGTAAATGAATATGGTTTTCAGATTTTATTTGGAGTGTTGTATTTCTGTTCCACTGAAACAGAACAGAATATCTGTTGATGGCAAGAGGGGCAGCAGCTATGGCAGTGGGCACAATTCCTACAGCACTGGCAGAGCAACACAGACACACATCTCGATTTCCTTAAGCTGGACCATTCCAAATAAAGAATATGTTACTACAGCAACCTAAGTTATACATATAAAAAGGATGAACGTGGACTCTACCTTTATAGCATGGTAAAGTATCAAAAGAGCGTGGCATCTGGGGAAACAGAAAGAGGTAGAGCTTACATTGCTGTGATAAGAAAAATAGCTAAAAAAGGAGACTATATTAACATTTATGTTAGAGTGGAAGTTTAGAAAGAGGTTTTGCCATTGATATGGTACTGTTAAGATTAGTAAGGGAGTAAGACTCTAGTCTATTACAAAATTAATTTTAAAAATGGGACAAAAGAATGGTAGAAGTGCTTCAAGGGCTGGAGCAAGTTATAGTATGGGAAAGGCAGAGTCATTTTCAAAGGCAACTGAAAGGTTTAGGAATTTACTACTCAAGAGCACCCAGAGTGACAGTTTTCTCTAGGGACACAAACTAAGCCAGCAGCCTGAGCAGTGAGGCATACGGGGAGCACTCGTGTGATGCATTAACTTGGCATAGCCAGGATGAGAGTAATTTCTATTTCTTTAGCCACAATAATACCCAATGCTGAATAACTGACAGAAGGAAACAAGTTAAACTACTATGCCTATTCCTAAAGTGATCTTGTAACTAGTCTGAGACACTTATAAGAGCTGGATTGTTTCTGAATAAGGAAGGGACTGGGTCAAGGAAGAAAAACTTTCTTAAAGAGAAGGCTGACATGAGACAAATGTAGAGCAGAAGTGAAACACAACTTCTGGAATTAACTGCCATAAAAAAGGTAGAATACTTGCTTCCTCATGCCTTCAGATTGAAAGCGACTGCCTCCTGGTGTTCTGGCTGGAAGGAAAATTTGTGTTTTGGTGGGACTTGGATTATTGAGATCACTGGGGAACTTCAGTAGCCACCTGAATGCAGGAGGTCAGAACAGACTCCCTGATGTCCTTTAAGCAGGTGGATCTATAGGGAAAGATGAAGATATTTTTCACTAGTCATTAAGCGAATCACTTGTGTGAGGTAGAACTCCTTGAGAAAGAGCAACTTGAGTTGCCTGCTGTGCTAGTAGACAAGAAACATACTCTGATAATTTAAAATGTAGTGAGAGGAAGATTGATGAAAGCACCTCACCAGCACCCAGCTCCACTGCCCTAAAGCTCCTCTGAGTATATGTTACTACTGTGAGCACATAAAAGGAGCCAGAGGAGGCTTTCTTACATGGAGAGTGGCACAGTAGTTTCAATATCCAGCCTCTGGAAATACTATCAGCAGATTCATTTTTTTGAAAAATGTTGTGAGCCTTGATCATGATTTAGTCTTTTGGGGCTGGGATTCAAGGAAAAGCCATAATTTCTGTCCTAAATTAACTTTTAATAGAGTAACAAAAGCCCTGAAGGCCAAACCACTTCATCTTTAAAATGCTCACATATTAACATTTTTTCCACATCCATTAAATGAAGATGTTGTTCTAATGTGTAAATATCTATATTTATTTTAATAATTTATTGCCTTCATAAATATTCATAAAATTGCTTTTTAACTGTCATAAAGTTTAGAAATGTGGATGCTTGCATGTTTATGCAGAGGTTATTGGCAGGCACTTACAGATGAGGATTTACTAAATGGAGAATATTAAAAAATTTCTAGAACAAAGGCAATTTGCAAAAAGCCTTCTATTTAATAACTGCATTAGTTTTAAATAAGTTTACTTTAGAGAAAGTAGTTTCATTTTTCTACTGTCTACATTGTTTATTTCTTTCCCTCCGGTACATTTTATGGCTAGCACATGTAACTGTGGAGATTACATTTTAAATTTCCATTTGACTAGGACTGTCTCCTTCTAGCCCTTCCTACCTAGCTCTATATATAAACACATGTATATGTCTGTGTATATATATGAATGTATATATATAAAAAATATGTCAAAAGAAAAAAAACTTTTAGGGAACTTCAACACCTTATATAGATTTCATTATTAATGACACTGGGATATAGTTGGTCTTTTTTTCTAGGATAGAATTTTTTTCAAAGATGCCTGAAGTCCTTATATGTCCATTTCCCATATGAGTGCTATGTGATTTTTAATTACTTTATACCCCCTCCCAAGGCCTTTCTTGAAAATTTGAGTTACTGGTATAGCTAGTATGGATAAAAGTTAAAGACACATATAAAACTAGATCTGAAGATTTGGATCTGAAGGGATCATCTAGTAACATCCACTTGAATAGCATCCTGTTACTCAGGTTTTCTCTAATTTATCACCCTCTTCAATTCTTGTCTCTATTCCACAAATCCTGAGAGGAGTTCTTGAATAATCTGAGCTAAATTCAGATTGATTGATACCAATCAGATCTATTGGTGTGGAGTTTGCCATTTAGCCAGACTATGTTCCTACAAAATATGCTACTTCTGTCATCAAGGAACTGCTAGTTGCTTTTTGGTCCTTTTTCCTTAGATTTTATGTCCTCTGAGTGTACAGGAGATTCCCTCCTTCGAGTCTGTTGCTTTCATTGTTATTCTTTATCCTTCCCCCTCCCCGCCCTGAGATTAGATTTAGCGAACTCTTATTCTTAAAATTCCCTCTTCTCAAGCAGGTTCTTCAGTCTGTTAGACATAATCTAGTCTAAAGTTCTCTTTTCATTTCTTTTCTCTACATCCTATGGAAAACAAACAAATAAACAAACAACTGTACTAGACCTTCAAAAAACTTACTGGATAATAGTGTATACTGAAAAGCTGTTTATGTATTTGTGTTTTGAGTGATTCTTTTAATCACCTGTTGACCTCTTCCTGATTTCCTGATTCATGGAATGATGCACAATCTATTTTGCTCTTTAGTGATTATTGAGAAAATTTGTTTTGAAGAAAGCCCATGAGTCTCCTTTCATCTGAAAGTATATTGAATTTAAGAGATTGGTAGACATAGTTCTCAGTTAT